AGGTTCTAGTTATTTGATTGAGTGTGTAATATCTTGATTAAATACTAGAGTTTAACCCCAAGTTAATCTAGAGGTGAGCTTATCCTTTAGTATTAATTTGGCTCCAAATTAAGATAAGAGTGTGTTTATCTCTTATTCCTTATTTGGAATTTATCCCATCCTTTCTAAACCCATCCTTCATCCCTGATTTTCCACTCTTCTTCATAATATCAAAACCCAAAAAGAACTCCTTCACATTCCCATATTTTCATCCAGCCCATTTCCCCTTCATTATTCCACAATTCCATCTCCAAAAATAACAACTTGATGAGACCCCCGGTTCACCCCTAACATGAATGGTGGCGATGGGGCAAAAGCTAAGTGCAACGGTGAAAGGTGGCGACGAGGCTTTCATGACCAGATCTGTCCAAACTTGTTTCATCTCGATTCCAAATCTTAATTCGTCGTCGAGACCCAATCGCTGCAATGAAGCATCCAGATCTGAAGAAGATGAGTCCTTCCTTGAAATCTTTTGACTTTCGGTTAGAATGATAAGTTTTTTCAAAGAAATCCTTTCTTGGAAGATTTTATTTTTATTTTATAGGGGCTGGCCTTCAGATTCTTGTAAATTAGCTAGAATTTATTTTTTTGGAGTTTTGCTGTAATTTGTTTGGAGGTTGGCATTCAGATTTTCGTAAATTTGTTGTACATTGCTGTTAATTTTTATGTAAATTTACTGTGATGATGAAACGGAGCTTTGGAAGGGGATAAAATCTCCCTAATTTGAAGAACAAGCAGATTTGCTGCACATTGAAAGAAATTTGCTGTGTACTTTTTTGCTGTGTAATGAAACTCAAAAGTAAAGGGACGGATGAGCAGAAGAGTGAAGGGCAACTCTGAAAAGTCAAAGCAAATTTTATTTTACATGAAAAACAGTGTCAAGTCAAAATGCAAAGAAACTTATGGGACACAGGGAGTAGTAAACATATTGAAATATATATCAAAGCAATTAAAGTATTTTCTTTTGAATTTTCAAATAAGTTTTAAATATATATACCTATATTATAAATAATATAGAAAGTTTAAATATATACACCACTCGTCCCACAAATATTTCATCTTTCTTTTTCCATTCCTTCCAAAAAATCTTCCTCTTTCACTAAAATCACCTATTTAGACCTATTACTATTTTTAATATACCTATCACATCATACATATTTGCTATAAATTCACCTATAACATACTAGGCAAAATGAGAAAGTATCACCCAAATTACACCTTCCTTAAATACAAACTTTATCAAATGTGGAAATGTTTTTTGGGATGGAGAGAGTAATTTTAATTAATAAAAAAAAACAATATGAGATGGCAAAAAACTCAATTAAAAAGATAAGTTTATACATTAAAAAGGACTAATAAGAAAGACATAATAGTATAAATTATTGTTATCACATCATATTTCATACTAAAGTACTGCCTCCATCCGAAAATGAAGTTTCCCTTCACTATTCACCGATTCACATCATCAAACATTTTCTACTGTTTTTTTGTCTATTTTAGTTACTCACTTGATAAAATAATATAGTCAAGTTACCTTTTGTTTGGCAGAACTTTTGATGTATTTCTCTAATATATAAATTTTATTTCATATTTCCACGCCAACAACCGAGTTGGGTCCCACAAGAGTTGCACGCAGACCTTATCCCAACTCAAAATTAAGGAGGTTGGTTTCTAAGAGACTCTCAGCTTCAGTAATAACACAGGCAGGTATAGTGAGCATCCAAAGCAAAAAGCACAAAAAAAGTAACAAAGAGCATACTAAGGTTAACGAACGAAAAAAGAAAAAAAGCAGAAAGCACAAGCAAAGCACAAAATGAAAAGTGCAAGGATAACTCCCAAGCCCAAAAGCCTACCCAACTACCTTAGTCTTAGCTCTGCAGACGCTCCTATCTAAGGTTATATCTTCAATAAAGACCAAAAGTCTTAGGTTAATCTAATCACGCCTTCCAATTCTTCTGATGTCTACTAACTTCTCTACTCCCGCCCACCACCATAAGCATCTCACATCTTCACACCGGGGCTTGAACACTCCAATACCTCACTTGCCCAAACTAAGGGTCTTCAAAAATATCCGATCTGAAGAATTCGTCCACAACATGAGCCGATCCAATCCAAAAAAATGGATATCCGATTTGATATTTTAGCTTTCGAATATTTTGGATCGAATATAAGAAAAAACCAGATCGGATATAAAATGAAATATTAGGATTTTGGATATCCACGGATAACCGAAATTCATATTTGAAAAAAATAAATATAAAAATAAAGCTAACACAAGCTAAACCCAATTCTTTTTCATCATCATAAATCTTTAAATCTAAGTCTAATTCAAGTTTTTTTCTCTAACCTTTTGTCTATGCCTTTTATTTTTGTCAATTATGTAGATATTCTTTTTTCTATACATTTATAACATTATGACTTACAATAACACTATCAAGGTAACTATGACATTTAAAACATATTTAACTCCAAATTCAAGTCAAATTTACAACCTCCACTATTTTAACAAAGAAAAAATCATTCCAAATATTTTTAAAAATTATTGGAAAAAATAAAAATTCAAAAAAAATACAATAAAAATTTGTTTCGGATATTCCATTGATTTGATCCAAAATTTTGGATATCTGAAACTCAGAGATGGAATAGATATTTGCCTATTCTAAAATTTCGAATATCTGAAGAACAAAATCGGATCGGATATATTCGAATGAACACTCCTAGCCCAAACCACCTCAACCTAGCTTCCCGTAAATCCCTCAATATGTGCCACTCCTACCCGTTGTAGGATAACAACGTTCTGAATCATATCCAATCTCGTTTGTCCACTCATCCACCACAGCATGGCATCTCTGCAGCATACACTTGACGAACATGAGTCTTTTTCACGGCCCAACACTCTGCATCATACAACATAGCTAGTGGACCGGTAAAACTTGTCTTTCATCCCACTTAACATCTTCTTGTTGCATAGAAATTCTAAGGCCAATCTCCACATAGCCCGGTCCGCTCTAATACGTTGTGCAACATTTCTGTCTAACTCCCCAACAGCCTAGATGATCGAACCAAGATACTGAAAGTCCGAAACTTGTCTATTTTAGGCACAAGATGGGAGTTAATCATAACTTCCTCCTCTTATTCTGACACTCGGGCCGCTGAAGCAACATTCAATGTATTTAGGCCATGTTCTCTTCACGTGATGTGAATGGTTCTCATCTGATTCGAATAAATTCCGATATGGTCTGTATGTAGTTATATTTAAAGTTACTTTTGATATGATCTAATTCCAATAAGAAAAAGTAATAAGTAATAAGAATAAGTTGAAGAGAACATGGCTTTAGTCTTGGTCCTACGATGTCTAAAGACTCGAAGGAATAGCGCCAAAACTCTAACTTGTCATTTAATCCCTTATAGGTTTCGACGACTAACATAATGTCATAGCAAAAACCATGCACCAAAGGAACTGATGGGTTTTAGAACCCGGGGCCTAAGAGACTAGGTAGAAGAGTATCTAACAAGTGTTGAGTGTCTTTCGGTTGCAAGAGTAGAGAAAATATATTAGTTTTTGTAGTAAAAGTGAACGTATATTTCCTCGTCCATGGGAGGAGTATTTATACAATACATGTTTGGGCTTCCCAGCCTTTCGTCTACAGCCTAGCGGGCCCACTGAGGTCAAGCCTTTTGATTGACGGTGCAGGAAATATGATTACAAACTAGGGTGGCTACAACTAACGTAAAGAAAATAGGGTGGCTACAACAAATCGTACAGACAAGCGTATCAAGCGTATCAGGGTGTCCAATTGGGTGCGTCGGGTGCAATGTGGCAATCACCCCAATTGACGTGTGTGCTTCATGTATATCATGGCACTTTTTTATTTGAAGGCCATCTTTCTTTCTTATCTTTTTTTTTTGCATTTACCATGTTTTTAGGTGATATATGGATTTTTGTTACTCAATAAGACAATTGTATTATTTTCATACTCCCTCCGTCCCTGAGTATTTGTCCACTATTCCTTTTTGGGTCATCCCACAATATTTGTCCACTTTCCATTTATGGTAAAGAAAATAATATGATGGTAAAGAAAATAATATGAAATGTCTATTTAACCCTCATCATTTACTCTCTTCCCCACTCATTCAAATCTAATCAAATATCTTATCTCTCTCCTTCTCTTAATTCTCGTCCACTCATGTTCTCCCCAAATTTCCTTCATCTTTGCACATGAATCACAGTCGTGCAGCGGTGGATGGATACCTTCTCCGGTGACAATCAAGTGGGAGAATTGGAGTTTGACGGCAGTTCTTTAGGATTGTATGTCTTCTCATAATCTAGATCTCCACATTGGTAGAGAAGACATCTTGTCCGTCTCTGTCGAGGTTGTCGGAATCGAAAACGACTGTCGCCGTTGAGGCTGTCTTCACCGCCAACAACCCAGACCTCTTTTGATTTCTTTCCTCCCTTCTCCGATCTCGGTGCAGCGGTATTACTGGCGACTAACTTTGCGACGGAGTTCTTGTTGTGCTGGGAGGATGATGATTGGAGGATGGGAGTGGGTGGTGTGATAGTAGGGGGTGCATTAGCAAGCTGAAGGGAGTGGTGTACCCCGTGGTAAGGCAGGAGGACGGCGATGATTTTTTTTGCCAAGGGTAATTGAGTCATTTTGCTCCTCATCTTGGTAAATGTGCCAATCCCAAAGTGGACAAAAACTGAGGGATGGAGGGAGTATAATATAACCTTCCCCTTATAAACATGCAGGATCTAGAAAATCCTTAATCATTAGCAAGATCTTGGAGGTGGGTGGACACCTTACAAAAAGTATTGAACATATGCATAGGGGGTGCAAAAAACACACTCAATAAAATGGACTAGAAAGTGTACCTTTTGGAGTTGAGGAACATTATCAAATCTCGAGTTTTCCTGTTGGTCATCAAAGAAATAGCTGAAGAAATATCAGACAGCATCATTTGAATTGAATCAGAAGTATGCTGTTGCAGAACAAAAGGAGCAACTGCCTGTACTTGATTTTGCAGTGATAAAGTTTCTACATTCGTTAACTCCATCAATCGTTGTTTCAGGAATGCTTTTACCTGATATGTGCAAAGGGAAAAGAAGGTACAGAACATTATGTTACAGAAAGTGAAATCAGGGACATTCACATCATGGAAACATTAAGAGCATGTTTGAACAAAATCAAACCAAGTAAATGCTACTCAGAAGTAGTGTTTAGTTAGGGTGCGATTTACATAGATCTTTTACTTCTACCATGATGACTCCAGAAACTATTTCCGTGAAGGCGACCAAGAAAAAGTAATAGCATGTATGGTAAGGGTAAATATTGGTTGATATGGTGGTAGTCACTGCATTGGTAAAACTATCAATCATAGTTGTTACGGCGGCTAAGCGAGGCTGGGCGCTAGAGTACCTTCCAATCGCCTAGGCGATTAGGCGCCCGCCTAGGCATCCGCTGGCTGGGCGAGTGGGCTATGGCGACCATAATAATTTTATAGGTACTAATGTTATAGCATATAGTATGAAATAATTAATTAAAATGAACACAGATACCAATTTTATGAAATAGAGTGTGTGTGTGTATACATATATATATGCATACACATATACACACACACATATATATATACATATACATATATATATACATATACATATATATATATATAGATATGTACATATATATATATATATATATATACATATACATATATATATATATACATAGATATGTACATATATATAGATATGTATATATATATATATGTACATATATATATATATATATGTACATATATATATGTACATATATATATATATATGTACATATATATATATATATATATGTACATATATATATATATATATATATATATATAAGCCTACTCCAATAAAGTGTGCTTTTAAAAGGCCTATTAAATTTTGGGCCTTATACTCGTGTGTAAAGGTCCAATAGTCTTTTAATGAATCAAGCCAGTTATTTGACTTAGTCCACTAGTCTAAATGATAGAGAGATAGAAAGAGGCAGTGGAGGTTGTTGCACATCTGGAAGCCGCTGCAGACCCCGACAAATAATCAGCGAGAAAGATAAGTTTTTTCTCTATCTCCTCCGTCTTCTCTCTCTATCTTGCGCATTCCCTTGCGCTTCTAAAACGGAGACGCGTCTCTGAGATGGAGACACTGTCACTGACATTTCCGTACAACACAGTCGCCCAGGGAAAAAAAGCTAGGCGACCAATTTGGCATCCACAAACCCTCGCCCAGACACCTAGGCAAAGCCTTGATAACTATGCTATCAATAAAAAAATTAAATTAAACTTAAGAGAACGATATATGATAATAACGGTAAAAAAAAAGTACATTCTTGCAGTTCATCAGTTTCAGCTATAAAAAGGAAACTTTTGCACTGCATTTTGTTTATCATCAACCAGTGCATCTAATTATGTCAGATTAGGTTGATAAGTAGAATATGTCTGTCAATTACCAGAAAACCAGTTAACTTTCTAACTCTTTCCACTTGTACAAGATGAGCACCAATAAACTTGCATAAAAGTGAAGAAAACAATAAAGATGATGATGATACTAGTGGTGAAACAAAACGTTTTAAATATAAACAGACCTCAAATAAATCATCAAGAATTCCATTCCTATATTCAGTCTCCAGAAGCGGACTCCTTTCCCTACAAGAGGCGTAGGCTTCAGTTGAAGTACTGGCACTGGGCAAGGTATTCAAGAAGCCAATTTCTTCAACCACGTCGACTTCGGGATTGTCCACACTTATATCCCATGATATTTCTGTTACAGACGCCTCAAGAGCCGAGGTTTCACCTTGGTTCTCAAGATGTGACTCCACTGTTTCACTGGCATTCACAATCTCATAAGGACCCAATCCATTACCATTTTCCTCTATTTCTTCTACAACAGTACCAATGTCCCAATCAATTTGGGAGCTGTCCAAGGTGATATCCCAATCAATGCCATTGGGGGTGCTGTCTGCTTCAGTGATAGCGTGACTCTCCACATACTGACTGGTTAGTACAATTTCAGAATCAAGAAACTCTGAACTCACAAATACATCAAGGGAAGGTGACTTCTCTCGAGCCCCTCTCAAATTTTGTAACACTGTTTTCTGCTAGCAGAACAAGGTAACTTTTAATGTTACAAGTGCATATCTCATCCTAAATTCATAACATCTATCCAGAAGCTAACTAATCATAAGTGGTTTAATGCCATATAGTTTGGGTTAGTGGCATTAAATTTGTAGTGCCAATTAGTTATATAAAAAATGAATTGCCACTATAGTTCATGAACAATAACATGCGGGCATTATTTTATACTGGATGTCATTCCTTTGGCAACCTTCATTAGAATGATTACATGGAAAATATCATGAGACAGAGTGATGAGTTGTGATATTTGTGTTATTGTCATATCCAATATATTATTGAAATTGCAAGACCAACATGCAGATCATGGGACATGAGCAATCCAGCAGCCTCACAAATAGTTTTCAAAAACTAATAAATATTAAATGTAAAAATAATTACTTAGCTTGAATATCAAACAAATAGATAAAAAACACAAATTGATGTTTTTCTTACATTCTTTTCCATGTGAGCTTCTTTAACAAAGTTTGAATAATATTCGATAGCCTGGGACAAAGAATAGCCATTCAGAACTTCCAGAATTCTGCTGAAAATTGTTGGAAGTGTATTTGTGGCGGTCTCTAGCAACTCTGACCTGACATTTACTCCCTGAATGAAAGAAAAAAAACATTTCAAAGATTGGCAATGAAAAAATAAATGAAAAGTTACTGAAACAATGAAAAAACTCTTAAGGCAAAACCTGTAGCCCTAGCTCCTGGCAAGCTTCAATAAATTTTGCAGCTGAAAGAGTTGCATGTCTTTTTATATCAGCTTCCTTGCGCTCCAACTCAGATAGTTGATGTTGAGCTTTATGAATCTGTTTCTTGTGGTAGGGACTAGAGAGTAGACCAGTCAATCATGTGGAGTTCAAAACATCAATCCTTGGGAAATGCTTCAGATATTGAGGATACTTACATTTCATAATTAACATTTTGAACCATTATCTGAGCAGCCTCACCAAGGAAAATGTGTTCTTTCTCATACGCACGTAGAATTGCTTCCCAAACACCCTGTCAATATTGAAAGTAGCTTTGTATTTCACTGTTTGGAGAGAGAGAGAGAGTGAGAGAGAGAGAGAGAAGAGGGAGATGCCATTGATCTTACAGCAGCACCTGAAAGCTGGCCAAAGATATTGCGGCTTTCGGGGGATGACTTCCGAAGAACCTCATATATGTATTTGGCTTCTAAATAACCAATCCCTGCAAACAAAAAAATGTGGAACCATCATGCTTGGAAACTGATCAAATATCATATGATTTTAAATTAAAAGAACAGTTTACAACACAATTTTGATAAGATTTGTGATGGCAGAAACATGTAAAATTGACTGTTCGAACGTGATGAGTTTTCGTACATCCATTTCCAATGGTGTTCCAATAAACTCTGTAGACAGATTACCGCTGAGATAAGTTATCCAGCTCAAGACAAGACACTAGGGAGGCGATGAAAGTTTAGTAGTTGACCTCTCTCTAAAACTAACCGATGAAATGAATTATGATTCCCATGAGTTTCTTTTACATTTAGAGATACTCAGAACTGAAGGCATTTATTATCTCAAAAAGTTCTTAAATTACAACAACAACAACAACCCAGTTAAATCCCACAAGAGTAGGGTCTGGGGAGGGTGTGTGTACGCAGACCTTACCCCTACTCAAAAGTAGAGAGGCTGTTTCCAAAGAGACCCCCGGCTCAACGTCGAAAGTTGCATTGCTTGACTAACTGCTACTTCATTAATTTAAGAAGCGCAGATTGTTTAGAGATCCATTTTGATTTATTCCATCACACCCCAAAGCCAAAAAGAGGTGAAATTTTGGCTCCATCGAATTTGTTCGTCTTTCATAAATCCAAGAATTTCACCTCTGACTATGAAATACAAATGCCCCCGACTGTCCCTGTTAATCATTACTCCGATCCCGAAGGCCAACGTAATAGGATCGAAATCCTATAATGTTATCCCATGCTAAAAAGTTCTTAAATTAAGGCTTTCTAAAAAGTTAGAGAATGAAACCCACAAAAAAATGTTAGCGCATCCAGTATTCCAAAAGTGAAAAAATAGAAAACAGATTCTGAATTTTATATTTTCTTTGTGTAACCGAAACACCTGCAGACTGCAGTTAAGTAGTCAACCCAGACACCTTTTTTTCCACCCCAAAAACCTTACCTCCAATGTATAATTGCTTCAATTTCACAAGTACTAGGTGATGGCAATTGTAACCCAACTTATCAGAGTCACAGTAGTCATCACCTAATACTTACACCACTGCAAACAATAGCCAAAATCCTTCAGCACAGCGGCTGACTACCTCATCCATTGCAGACAGTTGTGAAAAAGATATGTGCAGAAAACATCAAAATTAGAATGGACAACAACAACAACCCAGTTGGATCCCACAAAGTAGGGTGTGTGTACGCAGACCTCGCCCCTACCCGAAAGTAGAGAGGTTGTTTCCATGAGACCCCCGGCTCAAGCTACACATAAAAAGGATCACATAGTAGATACATAAAGCAAGGAAAGCATAGATACAACGCAAATAAAGCACCAAGCACACAGCATTAAAACTAAATTAAATAAACTAAAGTTACAAAACGAGAGTATTGCAAGCAAATAGCAAATAGCGCCAAGCACAAAAGGCCTACAAGGCACACAAGTCACAACAACAACAACATGCTCTAGCAAAAGGCACCTACCAAGTCACTCTAATCATATCTCTCCAAACGCTCCTATCTAAACCCATATCCTGAGTAAGGGCAAGAAGTCCTAAGTCCTGTCTAATCGTCTCCTTCCAACTCTTCCTAGGTCTACCTCTTCCACTACTTCCCCCTGCCAACTTAAGTCTCTCGTATCTCCGCACTGGAGCGACAACATTCCGCCATCTCACATGACCGAAGCAAATTTCCCCGTTTATTTTGTTTTCTTTCGTCTTTCTGAATTCAATAGAGATGAACTTTAATCTACTGGTCAATAGAGTGGGACATGAAACTATATAAGTTAATATGAAAAAATAGATCATAAAAGTAAGAGAGCTAAGTAGCAAGAAGACCCCTGAGAATTAAGGATTCAATCCCTTCTCCGAACTTGGAAAGATACTTATAGTACAGTAAATGGGCAGTTACGATCCACTCATTGCGGGGCTAATTACTGATTAGTTAGCGGCATGTGGAGAGCCTCCCTGCTTACACCTAGACCTAATCTCTGTCATCGCACCCGCATGGCCTCGCTCCCGGTCAGGTACGCCGACCCAAATCATGTGGGCCTCCCCAGATGACCCAAAACGGATCAGCCCTTTCGATCCTGTTTAAAGAATATGACGGTGGGCTTAGGCATATTGGGCCTTATAACTGCTTGCTCTCTAGGCCAGTCCAATTAGAAGAGGTAATACAAGAAATTACATTGAGTTACAAAGATTTGGGATATCCAGAACCAACCTAGAGATGAGGCATTGGGTTGATAGGAGCAGTATGCGGAGTGCCTGGGTGACTGCACGCGTCTTCCCAATCTGCAATTATCATTACTACCACTCTGATTCCATCATTGCAACCTTGATTGCTCTGCCTTCAGCCTTCACTCGTTCGTCATTCGCACAATCCAAAGGAGGGTCTCCTTCCTCTTAGAAAAACGGGTCTCCCTTTCTCACAAGGGATTTTGTAACTGAGATTCTCAAGCCCTCTGCAAAATCATTCCTTCTTTGCATTCCGCACTTTCGATTTCAACCTTTTTTCTCCTTTCTCCAATTTTGAACTATGACTCGCACCCAAATCGTCTGTTTTGGACTTCCACCTAACACATATCTACAAGACCGATGAAGAGCTTAACAAGATACAGATGGTTCTGGGAGATATATGCAACATCCACTACCTTGGAAATGGCCAAACTATGGTGGATAATCCAGAACCCAATTGTCTAGCCTTTGTAAACGTTCACAAATTCAGATGGACAAGCCCATCATCTTTGATAAAGTTAGCGCTTTGCAACGGTTTGCAGGTGGTAACAACGGGCCCCATGTTGGTGCCTATCCAAGTAAGCATGCTCTCTTTGCAAAAGTCCCTGAGAAAGTTGATAGCAGGGAGAAGTAGTTCATAATGCGCCACCCAGCTGGAAACCATCTCCCCTTCCCCAATACCTAACATCTTTCTTTCACACCACCACCTTCGATGGCAGAGATTTTACTTTACAGGTCGTCAAAGAGGATGAAGAACCATACCGGCACAATCCCTCATGGAAACATGAATGCAGAGAGATTTGCCTTCAAGGCCGGGTTATATGACAGCTGGATCACTCCAGAGGAGTAGCAAAGGGAGCAATAGATACTGAGGGCTCCATACATTCTGGTGAGGAAATCATTGAAGATGTGCCATCCTTAGAGGACGAAACAGCAACTCTCCTTCAGAAGATGTCCTCCATCTCCCCCAAAAGGAAAGGGGACTGATCCGACAATTACCCCCAGTGTGTGGCCAGGGGCCTTAAATGTATTCTTAGCATGCGGGCTAGGGATCTACAAACCACCTTCAACATGCAAGCCAGGGCCTTCAAACTAACCCTAGTGCCTAGTCCGCGGAATTTCAAACAATCACCTCCTGCACTCGGTGTGGGAACCTTTGAGGTAATTTCATTTCTGTAGCCTTGTTTCGTTTCACCTCTTTCAATTGCCATAATGCTAATCTTTGACTCTGGCTCCTCGTGGCTGGCTGTTGCTAAGCCCAAATTCCATATGCCGGTGTTGAAGAAGATTGAGGTTCACCAACTCTAGAAGCATCGGCCCAAAGTGGGTTCCTTTACTGATCACATTGCTCTTTGCCCAACTCATTAAGAAAAGTCATAGTACAATTAAGTAATCACACTGCTCTTTGCCCAACTCATTAAGAAAAGTCTTCAACCAGACCAGTTCTTTACTGGCCTCTGCAATAGTCATATACTCGACCTTTGTTGGACATCCGGCTCACTGTTGTTCCTCCCACTATAAAGACATACCCTGTAGTGCTCTTAAATATATCTCTACAACCACCCAAATCAGCATCTTTAAAACCTCTTAGAATAGCATCCTTCCATCTAAAACATAAACCCATTTTCTAGGTTCCCTTCAAATATCTTAGTACCCATTTGACAGCTTCCCAATGTTCTCTACCCGACAAACAACCCCAACAGCATGAGCAATATCTGGTCGAGTGCAAACCATGGCATACATGAGGCTCCCAACCGCTGATGCATATGGAACTTTAGCCGTTTCTGATCTTTCTTCTTCAGATTTAGGTGATTGTTCTTTCGTTAGCTTCAAATGACTTCCCATAGAGTACTTCTAGGTATGGTCTTCCCGTCTTTCATCTTGAATCTTCTAACACCTTCCCTAGGTAATATGTATTTCTCCTACGACAGTGTTAAAGAACCATCCTTGTTTCTGATGATGCTCATCCCCAGAATCTGTTTGGCTGGACCCAAATCTTTCATCTCAAATTCTTGAGACATTTGTTTTTTCAATTTGCTTTTTTCTTTCATATCAGATCCTGTAATCAACATATCATCAACATATAGCAATAAGATGATATAAAATTTGCAAAATTTCTTCAGATAGCAACAATGATCCATCTCACATCTTTTAAACCCTGACCTCTCCATGAAGTTATCAAACTTCAGAACCACTGTCTAGGTACCTATTTAAGACCAAATAAGCTCCTTTCACTTTGCAACCCCAATTTCCTTTGCCGACAACCTGAAACCCTTAAGGTTGTGCCATGTAAACGTCTTCATCTAGATCATCATGTACAAAAGTTGTTTTCACATCTGGTTGCTCTAGATGCAAATTCTCTGCTACTACAATACTCAAAACTAACCTAATGGTTGTCATTTTCACCACTGGAGAGAAAATCTCATCATAATCCACCCCCCTTTCCTGGTGAAACCCCTTGACCACTAAATGGGATTAATACCGTTTAGACTCATCATGCTCTTCTTTGATCCTGAAGACTCATATATTCTGTAATGCTCTCTTACATCATGGAAGCTTAACCAGAACCCAAGTTTTGCTCTTTTTTAGAGAACTTATCTTGTCCTTCATTGCATGTCCCCACTAGAGAGAATCTTTCATCTTGACTGCCTCGAAGTAGCTTTTTAGTTCATCATTTTCTATGAAGAAAATATAATTAACAGAAGGACTATACCTTTCTGGTTTCTTTGTAACTCTGGTGGACCTCAAGTCAGATTATTGTGGGGATTCTTCATCTTCAGACTCTGAACTCCCACTGTGAGAGGCTACCTCTGACTCATCATTTCCACAGACTTCAAACTCTAGAACTGGGTTGACAATTCTTTCAGTTTCTTGTTCAGAAACCAGATCAGAAACTAGTTTATAGCTTCCTGGTTTTTTGTTCCTATCTCAAACTCAACCTGCTCTTTCTGAACCCTAGAGTGCGATTCCTTTCTGTCTTTGTACACTTTAGCCTCATTAAACATAGCATGTTTACTTCTGACAACCTTTCCACATTCAAAGTCCCAAAGCCGGTAACCCATATTGTCCACTTGTCAGCTAATAAGGGTGTACTTCTTGGCTTTTGCATCTAACTTATCACCATCTTCATTCAAATCATAAGCACTGCACCCAAAAACTTTCAGGTGCTCATAATCGACGGCTTTACCCTTCCATTCTTCTTGAGGTACTTTGAAATTGAACGAAGCTGAAAGTGATCGGTTGATTAGGTAGGCAGCAGTGTTAATTGCATCAGCCCAAAACATCTTCGGGAGCCCTGTATTTATTCTCATACTTCAGGCTCTCTCGTTTAGAGTTTTATTCATCCTTTTTGCAACTCCATTTTGTTGAGGAGTGCGAGGAACAGTCTGCATCATCTGAATGCCTTGTTCAGCACAATAGTTGATGAACTCTGTGCTAATGTACTCTTTGTTGTCTGATTTCAAGCATCTCACCTTCAGACCAGTTTCAAGTTCAACGGATGTTTTTCATTTTTTAAAAACATCAAATACTTTAAATTTACTTTTAAGAAAATAAACTCATACCTTGTGTGTGGCATCGTCTATGAGAATCACATAGAATCTTGAGCCTTGCAAGGATTCAACTCGCTTTGGACCAAAAACATCTGAATGAATAAGTTCTAACTTCTAAGCTTTAAGTACTCCCCCTGTCTTCGCAAAAGATACCCTCTTTTTCTTACCATTAACACAAGGTTCAAAGAATTCAGATGCAACTTTCTTTAGGTCTGGAAGCTTTTCTCTTGCGACAAGCATTTTCATCCCCTTTTCACTCATATAGCCAAGTCGTTCATGCCACAACTTGGATAGACTCCACCCATTGGTTGCTGTGTTCATCTCCAGCCATGTACAAAGTACACTGTTTCTTTCCCTTAGCAATTACCATACTTCCCTCGACAACCTTCCATTGTCCACCCCCGAAGTGAAGATCATACCCCTGGTCGTCTAATTGCCCAATGGAAATTAACATCTTTCAAATTGTTCCCATGTGGGTTTTCAAGTCAATTTGGGAATTACCCTGACATCTGTGAGGCATGCTCTAGCCATTCCAGAAGATCAAGCCACCCAACTTGCCCAAGTTGTAGTGAAGGTGATGGAATCCATTGCTTGGGTTGTGGATGCAGAGGAGCCATAAGATGGTGCAGTCCTCATACATGCTCACAACCAATGGTCTATATAGAGTACCATTTATACCACCTTGAAGAACAGCTTCCCCGGATGATACCTGATTCATGAGCTGGGCCTCTAAGCATGTCTCGAAGATCCCAAACTACCCAGATTTATTTGTAGTTTCATTCTTGGATCCTTGTAAAACACATCATGATGAACGAAAAATCCATCCCATATGGTTCTATAAGTTATTGCTTGTGGTTGTGTTGCATGTTTACCTTTTTTGCCTGAATTTCCTTCAAATCCCTAGACCTTAAAAAGTCCTAGGGCCCTTCTTGGCTCAGATGGGTCTAGTAAGCTCGTAACCTAATGCATTCCAAGCCCTCGAGGGTCCTGAGGGAAAGGATCCCGTCCAGCCATCCCTAACCTACGTGCTCTTTTTGGTTGTCCCCGAGGGAAGACCTTCGAAAAGAGTCTTCTCACTTGGGAATATAATCAAGGAAAGTTTTTTGCCCCTTGATCTTGAGTTCCGAGGGTCCCTCTGTGTTTTCACCCATTTCAGGGGTGCATCAAATCTCAAAGGAATTATGCCCTCCTCAATCTCCTGGGGTAGGTGATAATCTCTTAAGTGGAAGTATTGCATCCAAGAGGATGAACTCACATACCTCGCGCTCTATCGCAAAACATAGTAAAATTCCAGCAATGCATCTGAAATATTTTGTTTGAAGAAAAAATTAACCTTCAGATTCGAGAGTATGAAAAGAAGGGTCTACGTCCTTGGGTGTGGAAGCAAATGCCGTCATAATTTTTGCTCTCAAAGCTACCAGCCGTTTCCTCCAGTCAGCCGGAATCTTCTTTCGGTCGACCAACCATTCTTCAGCCATAACCAATCAAAAATTAAGTAGGTTTAAGTAATAAATCAGAACATTTAAATAATACAGAGAATGAATCCATACGGTTTACCTCCTAGACGAGCAAAGGCGATATCAATCGGAAGGTTACCGATGTCCTCCTGATTATTCATTCCTCCAAAAATTCAGGCAAGGTCGGCAAATCAATGGAGGGCCACTGTTAGGGAGAACTGTTAGGGAGAGGAGAAAGCAGAACATACGCTCACGAACGCGGGCGAAGACTAAAAAACAGCGACACTAGGCCAGTTGCACTGATCAACGGTATTTCATCTCCATCCATATTCATTTTCTAATAATTAAACTCATTTTTTCAAGTAAACAAATACGAAGTACTTATTTTTGAATAATTAAATGCTTACTTTTTAACATAACTTAACTTTAAAAAGATGAACTTCATAGTTCATCCCGACGGCTCCCTCAAATCCGGTTTGGTAATTACTAAAAGGAGGTAATTTAAAATATAACTGAATTTTAAAAATGAGTATTCAGTTATTCGAAATTGAGTATTCACTTTGATGGGATTAAGTCTCACAACTATGACGACGAAGAACGGATTTAGAAAAATAAATATCAATAGTAATGATTCTTGATGTATTTCTATTAATTTGTTTATGTTTGTCCTTACTTGGTTTACAATGGAGGGTTCTCCCTCCATTTATACTACATTAAAGTTGCATACATGATGGGCACTCGCCGTGCGCATAAATCTTGCACATTATCTCTTGTATGTCGATCGTGGAGGTTAACAACTCAACCCCTGATCTTCCCAGGACTTAGGGCTGCCACGATTTGTATTATTCGCCTAGGCCAATCAATGGTAATTGGGCCTTTAATATCCCGTTTACCAATCTTCGTTTCATACTTGCCCAATCCACTCTCTTGTGGATTGGGCCGTTTATATATGTTTAATGTGTCCGGATATCCATCAAATGCCCCCTAGTTTTCTAGCGACACGTCGCTAAGGAATTGCTGTTGTGCTGCCCTTGGTCCGAGCGCTGGGTCGGAAATGCATTTTCCACTCCCAATTCTGAGTTGTGACGCTTTTATTCCTGCTCCAACACGCTAACCCATTTAGGTGTGTGCACTATTCCGGATTTATCCCTAATTCCTTTTCAAATCATAAATAATATTCAATACATAACTGTAAAAACACAGAGTGTTTAATAATGTTGCGGAAGTGAATTTAAAACATGTCTAATGTTGCGGAAGCAAATTTAAAACATGTCTCAAGACAATCACAATTAATTATGTAAATCCACACATCCATCACGACCGTCTCGCCCCATCTATCTGCAGGAATTCAATACTTCATTCTTTTTGCTTACCTGCGTGTAATAAATAAAATAAACTACGCGCTCAATGGTAAAGCTCAATAAGTATATCTAATGCGTTGAACATTCATACAAATTTAATCTAAATTCATAATCAACTCATTTGGTATCATGCACATAACATTCAGTTCAATCATTCAATAATCGACATTCAACATTCATATTCATTTTTTAGAATTCGTCAACAATATCCTTAAACTATTCTTAGTCTAAGGCCAATTCCATTAATGTTTACCAACTCTCAAGCTAATTCTAGTTTAAGGTACTTCTAACCAACTCTTAAGCTAATCTAGTTTAAGGTACAAGTTTTCAAAAGATTTTCCAACTCTTAAACTAGTCTTAACTTAAAGTACACAACAACCGAACAACGGAATGCTCACTGTCGGGTTGGGTGGTATCCCCAAACGAGTGATCCTCCAGTTTGGTTTGCAGATCCCGTACGTTTTTACCCAGGCCACCGAATATTCATAGTTATACCTGCAAGGCCTATTTCCAATCTATCTTAGAGGTCATCCAGATAGTATTAGAAACCAATATCAACATGCATATATCTTAGAGTTCTTCTAGATATCCTCCATAATACAATCATTTCATAGTCATCATCAATGTATGTTAGCCTTGGTTTGCTAAGCCTCATGTTTTGATGTTAACAAACAATATAAGAGATTGACGTTTGTTTAAGTGTTTCAGGTACAACAAGAATCCATTAAGATTCGGTACTCAAGAATGAAGTTAAAACACCAAACTAGCGTAGAATATAGGTAGAAACCAATGTAAGGATATGATTTTATATACATATATTCACAAGTTCAAAAACACTCACAAAATATGTTTAAAACCCTTTTATAATCATTTTCAAACATCTAAAAGGTTTTAAACAAAATTAGAAATGATTTGGACAAAAATAAAAAAATTATCAAAATGGTCATAAGGTACCTAGGTACCGTGAGGGGTACCGTGACTTAATCTGAGACGAGACCCCCTACCGTATGGACGGGACCCCCCTACCGTATGGACGGGACCCCCCTACCGTGTATAGGTACCGTGTGTAGGTACCGCCAGAGAGTTTTGGCCTAGAAGGTACCTAGCTACCGTACGGGACCTAGCTACCGTGACAGGGTACCGTTACCGTTGGAACACTATTCTTGATTGCTGATTTTTGAATTAATTCAACTCTAATCACCTCCCAACGGTTAATTAACATCTTCCATTATAAATATAGGCCTAATACTTCATATTTCAATAAGAAACAAAGCTCCAAACATCCTCCCTTTATATTTTAAGTGTGCTCATCCTTTTATTAATTATTTTCATTATTTTGGCTATTTTAAGAGCCTTAAAATTCCTGATTTTTATACACACACTTTGAGCTTGTGTTTCCAACTATATACTCTCATATTCATAAGTTTGAATTGTATTTTTGAGAGAGTATACTTTCCTTCTACACCGGCTTAGTTTTGTTCTTCATTTTTATATTCAAGCCGTTGTGTAGAACTCTTGTTTGTGTTTTTTAAACACACATTCTTACGTTCGAGAATAGCCGTTAAATTCTCACGTTGTAACGGTTAAGGATAGCCGTATAAATCCTTGGGTAAAGGTTCAAGGATAGCCTTTGAAATCCTTGGGGGAAACGGTAGAATATAGCCGTTAAATCTTCATTGTAAACGGTTCGAGATAGCCGTGGTGAAATCTCGGAGTGAATCTTATTGGCAAGGGTTATTTGCCAAACTAGTGCGGTGCTTTGACGGAGTTCAAGAGACCGAGACTTAGTGGAATCGGAAATCCTTGGGGAGGAGCCTCAAGGTACTAGAGTAGGGAGTTCCCGAACCAGTATAAAATCGATGTGCATTTTATTTATGCTTTTATTTCTGCATTTTATATATTGCTTCCGCATTTGCCAACACCGTTTTTATTAAACTCCGAAAAGTTTTCAAACGCCTTATTCACCCCCCTCTAAGGCATGGGCACAACGACTAAACCGACTAACAATGTATTCATTTTAAATCATGGTGCAATCGTTCAAAATAATCATTTGAGTGAGCAGATTCATCCATCATCAATTCAACGTAATCATACATAATAATAATCATCATAATATTCAATAAAATTTAGCGGTATAGCATCGAGTGTTCACACTCTAGCTTACTTTCATGCATCAAATAAGATTCTTGGATTTATCACAATATCATGTTTATTTCCAGAAATCATATTAATATGGAATATAATTGATTGGTATCAAAATAAGGATTTAATAGTTCAAAAATAAAGTTTCTGAAAACTTCTCGGGTTAGACGGTACCCTTAATGGTACTTAGGTACCACGGTACAGTACCTCGGTACTGCCCAAACAGTACAGGGTACCGTATAGCATCGAGTGTTCACACTCTAGCTTACTTTCATGCATCAAATAAGATTCTTGGATTTATCACAATATCATGTTTATTTCCAGAAATCATATTAATATGGAATATAATTGATTGGTATCAAAATAAGGATTTAATAGTTCAAAAATTAAGTTTCTGAAAACTTCTCGGGTTAGACGGTACCCTTAATGGTACTTCGGCACCACGGTCAGTACCTCGGTACTGCCCAAACAGTACAGGGTACTGTTTGGCGTCAGGTACTGCCAGAGGAAGCTTTTCCTTATGTTAGAGACGGTAGCTAGCCTACCGTTCTGACGGTACAACCTACCGTGTCAGCGCTACCAAGGCATCGTCCGAACAGTAGCTTGCTACCGTTCTGCGCGTAGTTTTGAACAGTGTTATCTTCATCCTCGGGCCAATTTTTAGAAATATCATTTTTAGCCACCAAGCTTCAATTAAACTATATAAAAATGTTCCACAAGGTTTATAGATTATTTTGGAGTAAATTCCATAATTGGTCCTTTATAACAGGGGGGTTTCCCTATTTAGTCCTCTATTATCAAATACTAGACTCGTACCCGTGCGATGCACGGGCTATTAATTGACATATAATTACTCAATTTTTTGAATAAGAAAAAATGTTTAAAAACCTGAAATATTATATAAATTGAAAAAATAAAAAAAAAGGGGAGTTTTGAAAGTGATATAAGTTTTTGAACACTTCTTTATAAACTACATTCGTAGCTTGGTTACATGGAAGAAGGTTTTTACTGCTAATCAAAATCTTTAACACTTTCTGTGTGTTGCATGGTAAAAATATTTGACTATTATTTTAAACAAACAATGAATAAATTTTAATTTGTATGATATAAATAAATTGAGTTTGTGCAAAATAATCTACACTATTACACAACATACAAATCACTTAAAAGGGATGCTATTTGTTATATGCTTTCTAAGTATTGTCAAACATGTACCTAAATAAACTAATGAAAAAAATAATACTCCCTCCGTACGGAAATGTTTTCTCATTTAACTTTTTACAGTCTCCAATATTGTACTTTGACCATTAATATCTATATTTAAACATAGATATATTTTATAAAAATTTGATATTTGAAAACTACGTTTCATTATGAATATATTGATTTTAAATTTACATTAGATTACAATGTGTTTTTTTACAAATCATAGTCAAAGTTTACAAACTTTGACCAAGAAAAGTCAAATGTGAAGAACATTTTCGGACGGAGGGAGTAGAAGAATTGCTGAGACACGCTATGCTTGTTGACCTAAGAGCTCAGATTACTCAATAATGACTCTTGTTGCACCATTGGCAAAGAACGGATGAAGATTTGTTGTAGCTCTACTAATTCAGATGATATCATCATCTTTTGAAGAATAACACTTTCTTAATTGTAGTCGCAGGCATAACACTTTTTTTTTGAATTTATTTACATATAAAAAATGAAAAAATGTTATTGAAACAAAATCAATGGGTTAGAGATTCAATTGATATATGTTTGAGATTCAAACCAATAAGTTAGAGATTCATACCTAATTTCTCTCTGCAATGCAATATTTTTTTGACATATCACAAATCATAGATTGTAGCGTAAGTCACTGAACAAAATATCAAAGTATCCATTGATGTGAAACCTAGCAGAAGTGAAAATTAGTATGACCAAAAAAAGAAATAAAAGAAGCAGAGAGGTGAGACAAAGAAGTATTAAAACTACCAGTCATTATCATGCAGCTCCGTAGTGACCACAAAGCTTCTTCATTTCCGTCTTAGTTGTCCCTTGTCCTTGTCGTGGTCTTCTTCCACCATCGCCAAACCTGGAGTTATAAGATTTGGAAACTCATACTTATAAGCATTCTTTAAATATAAATAATTTGAAATAAAAAAAGGCAGGGTGTTATATCGTCTTCTGTAGTTGTCGATTACCGGAATTAAATCGTCGTCCATGGATAAAGTTAGGGTTCCAATCCTATCCCGATAGCTAGTGAAGAGATCAATTGTTAATGTCACTTGAGTAGTATTTTCATAACAAAATATTGAAGATGTGTTTGAGTGTTACAAAAGGCCTTGGATGTCTTGAATCGATTTTAATAATGTCTTCAAGCACTTTAAAACGTGTGTTCTAATTCCAACTTAAAACTTCATAAACTACATGCATCTATTTCTAACTTACCAAAAACATTCAAGTTGTTATGAAAGCAAGCTAGATCCTAAAATTTTCTTATTTTATAGCTTGTTAAGAGACCGTAGCCATTAATCTTGGAAAAGAAATTTTGAGTAATGCTACAAAGTAGTGATGGTTTTTGTCAAATAACAGCAAAATAAATATGTCGGAAATTTATCAAGAGTTTTAAGAACAAAGTCTAAAACTCATAAGGCCAATTATAGCTTCAAATATTTTTTATCTAGCAAATCCACACTAAAAAAATAGATTTTTAATATCCCAAGTAGAAAAACACTATGTATATGAATCATTAGCTCAAAAGGATATGTGCATAAGAAAATTGTTTCTACTGTAATTACTTCAATATACTAATAATAATATAAAAAATAGGCTCTTTGATAAATTCTTTATGCATGTTGGTAAATTATTTTTTAGTACTCTTACCTGATTAATCATAGCCACTTTAAAACTTTTAGGGCTTCTAAGATTTCGTATTTAGGCTCATTCAAAAAAATTATTTTTGTTCCAAATGTAATCTCAGCATGACACTAAAAAATTATGAAATGAAGAGTGAAATTCATAAGAACACTACTTTGTATATATTACCCGGGCCAGAGAAGGTTAAATAAACTCATATGCCAAGAAATAACATGAAATGAAGAATAAAAACCAATATATTTATCTTAGTAAGAAACTGCAATAAAAAGTACAAAACAATAAATGAAAGAGATACTGGGAGTGATGTCAAAGACATAGTGGAACAATTGCACCGACATTATCATTAGCTTAAGAAAGACTTTATGTCCAACCAAACTTGCACCCCATGTGAAAAAAACATGTCCCAAAAAAGGCTCATTTTAATAACTAAACTATTGCCTAATAACTAAACTAATAACACATTCAACATGTTGTGCGTACTTCGTATGGTTAATCTTTGCTGGGATGTAGTTTTATAATATCACTATGAATTATCTCTATATTAAATATTTATTGTGTAAAAATTTACATTATGCACAAGTTTGATTGTATTAGGTATTTCCAAAACATATATATCTTGATAATCTTAAACCTTGAACACACATAAAACCTCATATCAAAGAAAATTAAAGTTTCAATTAATAATAATTATTGATCACTAATCCAACTATGTTTGCAAAACAAATCTAAGTTACTTTAGAAGATCATAAACAGATTCACAAAAACAATTCAAAACACGCATACAAAATTAGAATTACATGATTATGTATTGAATGCTTGAGTTTTAAACTGAGAAAGACAAAGGGAAGGATTACATACCCAAAGATGGTCCTTTGTGGATGAATGAGCTCTGATCTCTGCCACCCTACAAAAGAATAGCTAAACTATCCTACAAAAATTTTCAAATAATTCAATCAAATCCAAACATAAAACTAAATCATGAATAATTTGAAAACAAATTTCAACAATTTTAACATCTCAAAAAATAAGAAAAAAATGCCTGGAAATTAAATTACTATTTAAATTTAATTGCCTTGTGTCTACGAAAGGATCGTCTGCGCAAATATGGGGTAAGAGTGCAGAAATTGAGAAAAAATTAGAGAAGAAGGGGGGGGNATTACAGAGGGCGGAATTGGAGCAGAGGAGTGCCCCGTAAACAGCGCTGTCGTGGTGAAGAAGATCGGTGTCGTCGATGCTGCTGGACTGAATCAGGTGGTACTCCTTGGCGTAGAACACCGCGTTTAAGTTGTTGCTCCCCGCTTTCGGTATGTTGGTGATGTGCAAAGCCCCTCCGTGCTGCCAGAATCCTAGGGTAGAAGGTTAGCCGGCGTTGTCGTATCCCACCTTCGAATCCCTGTTGTCCATGGCGGAAGAAGGGTCAAAACCTAGTCGCTCTGCCTTCTCCTCTTGATGGAATCGAAGCCGGCGTAGATCTCGATTTTGGAGAAGCTTACGGAATACGCCCAAATTTTTTTCCTTTTTACTCGGCATATAGGGACAGCTGCTTAATAGGCTTCATAGCCCACATTTTAAAGCCAGCCCAATAAATAATGACCCGGCCCAAAAATTTGGGCGGGAGTACTGTTCAAAACAGCCTCTTACCATTGTATATATATAGATTACCCTAGTGGTCCTTCTTTTATTGGTATCTTTCTACAAATAGTTCTTTTTTTGATCTTCTATCATGTTGGAGTTAATTTGAGGGCAAAAGTGTAATTTCACAATGATAATATATCTTTTTTGTCATACATTATTTCAAAGGTTGTTCTGTTTGCGTCGTTTGTGAATCACATTCGCTTTCTACTACACCCATAGTCTACAAATATGGTCTTCCGTCAGAATCCTAGCCCACAATCATAGTCATTATTTTTGTGTTATCCGCTTAACCAATATCAGAACACGTCACTAGACACAATGTTGATGTTAAATTATACTTTTAGCCTTTAAATTAACACCCATATGGCGGAAGATAAAAAAGGACCATTTGTGGAAAGGCACCCTTAAAAAAGGGACTACGAGGGTAATATTTGATAATAAAGGACTAAATATGGAAACCCCCATGTTATAAAGGACCAATTATGGAATTTACTCATTATTTTGGTATCATTAATTCATAGTTTTAACAATAATTTCAAGGTTTATGATTCTTAGTTCTTCAAGCATGTCAAACACAAAACTAAACCAAATGACCGCTTATGAACGTAAAAACGATTTATACGAACATTCTAGTCACTAGATATATCTACAGGCTTACCTCGAAGCTTTACGAAGGTTTTTTGAAATTTTCCGGCGACGATTACTCTCAGCTCCGGCGACTTCTCACCAAATTGACAGCACCACACTATTCCTTACACTCTCAAGAACATAATAGAAGAAGAAGTAAAGAGAATGGTGTAGAAATGAGAAGTTAGCTCTCTCTCCTTATATAGGAAAGATGATGAAGAAGGAAACAAATTCCTAAGTCACTGCGTACGAAAATTCACAATCGGCGATAGTGGAGGAGGATGCGCTGTTCCCCGATTGGGACTGATTTGGTCCCAATCGGGGTACACTTTTTGGTCCAACTTTCTCCAAATTGAATTCTGTTTGCACCCTTGTGATCAGACAATTAAACTCTTTCCAACAATATAATTTTTATATTTATTTGTAATATTCTTTACAACATCATATTTTTGGGTGTATTACTTTGACAGAGTCAAAATGGATTGAGTTGACCTTTATTTAAAAGGTTCTCACATTTAATTCATATTAATTATTCTCATGATTTATTTCAATATAAACAAATTCTTTATTTATTCTTGATTTGGATTTGTACTCTAGTTCCCAATTAAGATCACACATAAAGTCAACGTATTGGATTAATCTCTATGAGATTTATCCACAATGTGATATTAGATATTGATAAGTCGGGTTTGGTTTAATACTTTCTATTCTTTTTTAGGCATTTTTAATATATTTAGAGTTTAATTTTTAGTTGTTTTGTTTAGTTTTATTTTTATTCCAATTTTTACAATCTTTTTATTTTCTTTCAAAAATAGTAGTTTTTTTAATCAATTTTTACAATTTATTATTTTTATTTTATTTTTCCTAACCTAAGTTATCAAATATCTTATTTTTTTGGAGAAAAGTGTAGTAAAAAGACCAAAATGCAATTTAGATTTGAGAAGAAAAGATTGATTTTGGGCCGAAGCCCAAACCCATTATTAAATCAACAACAAAATTGGCCCAAGACTCCATCCTCCTCTTTTTTTCACGCAAAAAAAACGGAGAACGCATCAACGCCATCTTCTTCTTCATTGCGCAAGAGGCGGACGACCAAATCAGAGACGCACCAACGTTCACGACAATTAATCATCCAACGGGAAGAATTTCAACGGGACATTTTCTTTCTATAAATTGAAGGCAAATTGCACAATTCCAAGGGGGGAAACACACGAGGAACAACGACGACTGAGAGAGCCGCGGCTCAAGCCGCGGCGCTGTGGCCGACGTTCGACGATGACCGGCGTGGCAGTAGCTCCGGGCAGAGGTTAGGAGGTTCTTTCAAGCTCCAATAAAGTTTGTTTTTTATTTAGTTCTTACATTTTTGTTTGGTTGTTTTTCTTAATTTTGAAAATTCTAAAAAAATGGTTGGTGTTCTTTTATGGTTTTTTTAATGTTTATATTAAATCCCTTATGAATGAGAATTGATTCAAACTAGTTTTTTTTTCAATTATTGAGCAAGTTGTTGTTGAATTGGTTGAATTGCATAATTTGATTTCATAAGTAGGTTGTATGTGGAATTTGGTTTTTGTTGAAGCTATTTTAGCTCCTTAAGGTAGTTAAATGAACTACGGATTCATACGTGATTCTTTGTTGTGTTTGTGTTTGTTGATTTTAAGAATTTTGGACTTCTTAGCCCCATAAGATGATTCATTTTTCTTAGAATTCGTTATTAAGTGATTGCGTATAATTTCGTATGTTTCTTTGTTGTTTTCATTAAGTTAAGGTTGTTTAAGCTCAAAAACAATTCTCAATTTATTGAAAATATGTTGTGTTCATTTATGTGAATAGAAAAAACGTCATTGGTTTGAGAAGTTCATGGAAATCTATGAAATGTGCTCTTCATAAGGAGAAAAGGTTTATTAAAATGCATAAGGTATTGGCGGTTTGTGAATAGATTATGCATGAGAGTTAGAATGAAAAAAATTCGCTCTTTTATAAACTTTTTCTATAGTGGAAGTATGTTTTCATGCTTGATTGGTGAGTTGTGGTTCTTGATTTGTCTCATTATGAAATTCTTGAATTACATGACTCTGGGCCATGTGGAGAGTTGACAATCCTCCATATCGTGGTTAAGGAAATGAGTCGACTCGACCTTTGATTTGTTTTTTCTATTCTTAAGTGCGTAAGTTACGTAATATATTGTCTACGTGCCTATTATACGTGTAATGTTCGGTTTCTGATTGTTTTTTTTAAATTTTGTTTTGGGTTCTTGGCGGTGTTTTTTGGGTTACCTTGGTTGAGGAAGTTGATTATTTTTTGAGCTTGTTTTCCCTCATTTTATCAAAAAAATCAAAACAAAAATAAGAAAATATAAAAACAAAAATATTTACTTTTTATTCAAACCCCCCCTCCTTTTGTGTTATATTAGCATAAGTTTTTATCTACTAAGTTTATCTATAAGTGATTGTTTATAAGTTATATTTTTAGTATGTGTTTAGTATTTTAAGTTATATTATAGGTTCTTTGTTTATATAAGTTATATATATAAGTTTTTATATTTATTTATTTATAAGTTTTATTATAAGTTTTACACGTCTTATTATATGTGTAGTTGTTTTTTTATTTAATTTCGTGACAACGTGTCCGCATGCTAATTTGGTTTCAAAAAGTACAAACTTTCTTCGTGGGATCGACCTTTACTTGCCCTAGTTATAGTTTTTATTTGATTATATCTTGGGGGGTTAGCTAAGGTTTTTTTTATAAATTTTTAATTTGTTTTGGACCGCACGACAAGTCCTCAACAAATTTTGGCGCCGTTTCCGGGGAAAGTTTTGTATGAAATCATTTTAGTATGAGATTGTATTCATTATTTTTTGTTTGTAAGTGAGCATGTCATAGTACCTCATGTCTTGAGTTCTAATTTTCTTACATGCATATTCATAGAATTGAGGTTCTATGTGCTTGAATGATATAAAATCAGCCTTATTGACTCTCTTGAATGCTGAATTTGTGCTCCAAATGCTGTTTTTATGAAATTTCAGGCCTATTTTTCACACAAAATTCCATTTTGACACTACTTTCTGCATTTTTTTTGCTGGTTTATGTACCCAATTGGTCATATATGTTTCATTTGTGCTGCTTTGCTTATTTTTTTTATGAGTACAACATGTATGGTTTGATTAGGCAAGAGTTGTGTGCTGATCTTGATGCCTTTAATGCTAAATATGCAAGAAAAAAATGATTTTACTTGCTGTTTTTTATAAATCTGCATTACTCTTGCTGTTTTTGTTCTTTAAGAGTGCTTGTATGCTTAAAATATGAACTATAATTGATATATCTTGCTTGGGGAAAATATTTTGAAGCATATCATGATGTTTTTATGCTGATTTTGATGTTTCAAAGGCTGAATTTTTGATAAAAATAGATCTAGAGTGCTGTTTTTTAAAAAAAATTGCATTCTTTTCCCATGTGCACACTGATTTTTTGTGTTCCAAGACACATATATGCTGAATTTTGAAGTTCCATTGTTAAAAGCTTGCATAGGAATTGATAAGGGAGCATTTAGCATGAGTTTTCAATCTTGTCTTGATCTTTATATGCTCCTTGTTGCTCTCAAAGTGAAAGCAAATGCAAAAAAAAATAATGTTTAAGGAACACGACTTTGAAGCTTATCTTTGCATCTTTGAATATTTTTTTTATTCTTAATGGAGCATCAAAAAGCTATTCTTGAAGTTATCTTGTTTTTACTCTTTTTATTGTTTTAAAGAAACATATTTACTTTACTACTTGATGGTTTAAGTGAATATTCGTTGGCAAGTAGTAAGTTTTGTCTAGCCATTGACGTTAAATTGGGCGGCTTATGGGAGGCAACCCACTATCTTCTTAAGTTTTTTTTTTTCATTTTTTTTAAGTTCTTTTGTACTTCTAACTTCTAGCCATTGTTGTACTTTTTTTCTCTCTCTCTTATAGTTGTTGATTGCATTTTTTTTCCTTTTTTTTATTTTATTTTTTTACATGACCCATTTACTTTTATAGCGTTTTTAATTTTTTTTAAGTTCCTTATGCTTACTTCTAACTTTAATTTCTTTAACTTGTTGTTGTTGTACTTAATTTTTTTTCCCTTGTGTTGGTTAATTAGATTTTCTTTTTCTTTCTTTTAATATCCAACTTACATTTATTACTTTTTTCCGTAATAGTACTTGTTGGAATTATAGAATTAGTTTTTTTCCTCTTTCTCTTTCATTTGGATTTTGAAAATCAAAACAAAAAAAAGTGATCTTGTTGAGCTTAATTGTTTCTTTTTACTTCATTTGTGCTTCTAACCATCTACTTTAAGAGTATGCAAGATTTTTTGAGTTTTAGGTGGAAGCATAGGTGTTTGGAGTAAATATCTGCACAGAAATGGTGCCAAATCTGTTTTGAAACAGCAATTCTTGGTGCCCGGGTATTGGTATACTGTCAATTTTCAATTTTCTTAAGCCTTGGGTGTTTCAAAGTGGTCTTATTTGATTTGGAAACTTGAGATTTCTGCACTTTTAAGGCTAATTTTTGGGTACTTATGGAAAAAATCTGCACTTCTCTATTTGATTTTTGGGCTATAAACTGAAAAATATGCACTTCGTAAGTTTGTTTTTTTAGTGCAGAATGAAATTCTACACTTTTCACGGCTTATATGTGCTAAATTAAAAAAATCTACATATTTGAAATCTGATTTTTTGTTCTTCAATGCTAAAAAAACTTGGTCTTAGCCTTCTTTTTGCAGATTTTTAGGTCCAAGAAAAGGATGGTAAAGATTGGAAGTGATGAAATGATGCTGCGTATACTTTTAGCTGAATTCCCCAATCCCCTTCTCTCTTGGCTAATTCTCTTGGTTATATCTTCGTTTTGTTATTTGCATATCATTTAGATGCATCAAGGACTTTGCATGATTTAAGTGTAGGGGGAGATTCTCATATTTATTCCGTTGTTTGGGGGAGTTTATTTTGGGGCATATTTTTTTCTCTTTGATAAGTTTTGGGTCTAAATATTTTTGTCATTCTTAGTTGCATATCTTCTTATTTAGAGCATTGTTTTTAAAAGCTGACCCATAAACTTCATTTTTTTCCTCTTTGAGCTTTATTCAGAAAGTTGACAAATGTATACTTTATAAACTCGCCTTGAGTCTTATGCCCATTTTTTAATTGACCTTAAAGTGTTTGAATTCTTCTAGGCATTCTTTAGAATTTTGTTTTCTAGAACTATCATCCTCATATTATCTAGATGTTGTTTTAGTCAACCTTGCTTGATATTTAAATGTTTTAAGAATCCAGTTTTAGGAGCCCTTTTTATTTTTTAGAAAATTGTATGATTTTTTTTTTCTAGGATTTTTTGTTGAATTTTGCTACCGTTGCCATTGAGCCGTTCTGAACCATAGGATCCCAATAGGAAACTTTTTGTGGCAACTTTAGAGCATTTTTTTAGAACCCAAATAATTCATATTTTAGATCTCCATCCTTGTAGGATTTTTAGCTCACTTTATTTTTAAAATGCTATGGGCATAAAGTCTTAGTAGTGGGTCTGTAAGTGTACTTTGTTCTTCTTGATGATGATAAAAAATTTTGTTTTCGTTTTGGCCTTTTGAACGAGGACATTCAAATCTTAAGTGTGGGGGTATTTGATAAGTCGGGTTTGGTTTAGTACTTTTTATTCTTTTTTAGGCATTTTTAATATATTTAGAGTTTAATTTTTAGTTGTTTTGCTTAGTTTTATTTTTATTCCAACTTTAACAATCTTTTTATTTTCTTTCAAAAATAGTAGTTTTTCAATCAATTTTTACATTTTATTACTTTTATTTTATTTTTCCTAACCCAAGCTATCATATACTCCATCCGTCCCATTTTATAACGCCTGTTTCAGTTTATGATGTTTGACTGAAGTTATTTTCAAATCATTTTATATGACAGATGGTATAGAGTTAAAAAATAAAAATTACATATCAAAATACTACATTAAAAGATCTACAAAACTAGTAGTGACAACAATATTTTATTTTATCAATTTGCTAATGAAAATAGAGAAAGAAAGTGAATGAAGTTTGACCCTGTGAATAGTGAACATGCATTATAATTTGGAACGGAGGGAGTATTTTTTTTTTTGGGGAAAAGTGTAGCAAAGTGACCAAAATACAATTCAAGTTTGAGAAGAAAAGATTGATTTTGGGCCGAAGCCCAAACCCATTATTAAATCAACAACAAAATTGGCCCAAGACTCCATCCTCCTCTTTTGTTTCACGCAAAAAAAAAGGGCCATCTTCTTCATTGCGCAAGAGGCGGACGACCAAATCAAAGACGCACCAATGTTCGCGACAATTAATCATCCAACTGGAAGAATTTCAACGGGACATTTTCTTGCTATAAATTGAAGGCAAATTGCACTATTCCAAGGGGGGAAACACAAGACGAACAACGACGAGTGAGAGAGCCCCGGCGTTGTGGCCGACGTTCGACGATGACCGGCGTGGCAGTAGCTCCGGGCAGAGGTTACGAGGTTCCTTCAAGCTCCAATTCCTTCAATTTCTTCATCTTCTTCTTCATAAATTGGTAACCTTTATTTGTCAATTTTTATTTTTTCCTCCAATTCTATGTAAAAGATTGTTTTTTATTTAGTTCTTACATTTTTGTTTGGTTGTTTGTGTTAATTTTGAAAATTCTAAAAAAATTGTTGGTGTTCTTTTATGGTTTTTTTAATGTTTATATTAAATCCCTTATGAATGAGAATTGAATCAAACTAGTTTTTTTTTTCAATTATTGAGCAAGTTGTTGTTGAATTGGTTGAAATGCATAATTTGATTTCATAAGTAGGTTGGTATGTGGAATTTAGTTTTTGTTGAAGCTATTTTAGCTCCATAAGGTAGTTAAATGAACTCCGGATTCATACGTGATTCTTTGTTATGTTTGTGTTTGTTGATTTTATGAATTTTGGACTTCTTAGCCCCATAAGGTGATTCATTTTTCTTAGAATTTGTTATTAAGTGATTGTGTATGTTTTCGTATGTTTCTTTGTTGTTTTCATTAAGTTAAGGTTGTGTAAGCTCAAAAACAATTCTCAATTTATTGAAAATATGTTGTGTTCATTTATGTGAATAGAAAAAAACGTCATTGGTTTGAGAAGTTCATGGAAATTTATGAAATGTGCTCTTCATTAGGAGAAAAGGTTTATTAAAATGCATAAGGCATTGGCGATTTGTGAATAGATTATGCATGAGAGTTAGAATGAAAAAAATTCGTTTTTTTATAAACTTTTTCTAGTGGAAGTATGTTTTCATGCTTGATTGGTGAGTTGTGGTTCTTGATTTGTCTCATTATGAAATTCTTGAATTACATGACTTCGGGCCGTGTGGAGAGTTGACAATCCTCCATATTGTTGTTAAGGAAATGAGTCGACTCGGCCCTTGATTTGTTTTTTCTATTCTTAAGTGCGTAAGTTACGTAATATATTGTCTACGTGCCTATTGTACATGTAATGTTCAATTTCTGATTTTTTTTTAAAATTTTGTTTTGGGTTCTTGGCGGTGTTTTTCGGGTTACCTTGGTTGAGGAAGTTGATTATCTTTTGAGCTTGTTTTCCCCATTTTATCAAAAAATAAAAAAAAAAGAAAATATAAAAACAAAAATATTTTCTTTTTATTCAAACCTAGGGATGTTCATCGGTCTAAAACCGGACTGGACCAGACCGAAAACCGAACTAGGCTAAAACCTAGACCGAAGACCAGACCTAAATGTAGTCGATTTTGGATCAGACCGACCCGAAATGTTATGCACCGAACCAGCCCAGACCGAAAAGACCGAATCCAGTGGCCGGAATTGAAACTTTTTCCCCACCGGCAAAACTTTAGGTGGCTAGGTGTGGAAAATTAGGGGTTTTGCAATCCCAAACCAAATGCTGCAATTGAGGAGTCAGGGTGGGCCGTAAAGTTGTCAGGAAGATGCCTGGGTGGGTGCGCGGCGTCGAATTTGCCGGAAGTGGCCGAAATCTGCAAATACCCCCCAGAAACCGCCGTGACGGGTCGCAATTGAATCCCAGCGATTCCGGCGTCCAAATCCCACGGTGCTGGTGGCGATGGGGTCGTATGGACCTCAGGAGGCGTTTGGGAGTGGTGGGGAAGCTCGCCGCTGCGTGTGGTGGCCGGAGCTGATTGGGCAGCGGCATGGACGACGGCTGTTGCGATATGATGTTTCCCGGCAGCTTTTCTGGACGGTCAGCGAATTTGCGAGCGGACGGTCAACGTTTGCGCCTCTGGAGTCACGACGATTGGCCGATTGCAGATTATGGGAAGCTAATCTGCTATTCGAGAATGGAGATTTGGATTTGGAGTTGAAGCGGAGAATTTTTGGGAAAGGGGAAGATCTTCGGTGATGGACTGATGGTCTTGGTCTCGGTCTTTTAGGTCTGGACCGAATGATATTTGGGTTTGGACCGGACCGGATCGAAACCCGAAATTGTAAAATTGGTGGACAGAAGACCGACCCGAAATCCAATCGGTCCGGGTTCGGTCTGGACCTATCGGTCCGGTTCGGTCGGTTTTTTCGGTCTGGACATAAACATGAACAGCCCTATTCAAACCCCCCTTCCTTTTGTGTTATATTAGCATAAGTTTTTATCTACTAAGTTTATCTATAAGTGTTTGTTTATAAGTTATATTTTTAGTATGTGTTTAGTATTTTAAGTTAGATTATAGGTTCTTTGTTTATATAAGTTATATTTATAAGTTTTTATATTTATTTAGTTATAAGTTTTATTATAAGTTTTATACGTCTTATTATATGTGTAATTGTTTTTTTATTTAATTTCGTGACAACGTGTTCGCATGCTAATTTGGTTTCAAAAAGTACAAACTTTCTCCATGAGATCGACCCTTGCCCTAGCTATAATTTTTATTTGATTATATTTTGGGGGGGGGGGGGGTTAGCTAAGATTTTTTATAAATTTTTAATTTGTTTTGGACCGTACGACAAGTCCTCAACAGATATCAAAACATATTTCATATCGGTCAAAGACTTAATAATTATTTATTTTAATCAAAACAAATTTGTTTAATTGAATATTTAATTTAATAAATTTTAGGGTATGTTTTGGGGCGTTACATTTCTTCCCCCTTAAAGGAATTTCATCCTCGAAATTCTTCTAAGGTCCACAATCAACATCTTGTCGTACTCACGTTCATCATGACCGCGTCATGTTCATTTAGTTAATCATGATTACGTCGTTATCCCTATGGGCACTTATTCTCGAACTGTCAATATCATCAAACTCATTTTTTCTTCAAGAGATCAATAATCTTAGATTAAGCAAGATATACAACGATCCTTTTTGCAGGTTCCCCTTCAGAGTCAACATCCATAACTAAGGTTCCTTTGCAAAGTATAACATTGTATTTTGGAGCATACTTAACATATTTGCACATAACTTCATTCATTCTCAAATATTGATTGTACGCTATTAGTCAACAATATTCTTTCTTTGATTGAAAGTTCTTTAATGGCATTTGTAGTTTCAAATTATCAAGTTCATGAGAGGTATAGTTGAGGATTTGGAGTTTGTTTCAATTCAATTCATACATCATTGCGTAACTTTTCCAAATCACTCAAGGCGTGTTCACATTGTTTATATAGTTCAACAATGTCTCGTAAGAAACATCAAATAACTTTTATTGGTTCAGGATTTTCAAAATATGGGATTTGTATCATTTGTAAGGAAGTACTGTCGATTGGTTGTACAATACCTCATTATCATTGATCTTACGTCGAAACATCTCTCCGTTCACTTCGTAGTTCTCATGATCGTTAATGAGTCTTTGTATCAATTCATATTTATAGGTGATGACGTTTGTGTGACATCTCATATTCGTTTTGTCGTTTTCAACCTTCTTTCTTCGATTTGGAAGTATATCGAGATGCGTTCATGATAGTGACAGGTTTGATTGTAAAACTATGGTTGATCTCATTTCGAGGAAGAAGAGAATATCTTCAGTACGTGATTCGCTTCACGAATTCATAGAATTAGCATATTCTGATCCCAAGATGGACCGGATAAAGGAAAGGATCACCAGTTTGAGCTCATATTTTGTGTGCAATACCTTCAATTACAGTCCATTACTCTTTTCATATTATTTTCTCACTATTATAAGAACCGGATACTAATACTTGGACCTGGACCTATCAACAGTCCTAGGGAAAATATTAGGCATCCATCAGATACTAATTGCTTCCTTCCAAATTAAACTAATGCCTTCAGAAATATAATATTTAAAACTCATTTTAAGTTTTTAATTATTAAAGGAAAGAATAATTTCAAAAACTTTTGTTTTACTTTATGTTTAGTGCTCATCAAGGATGAAAATTCTTTCACTACCGAAAGCATTAGCGGTTAGATTTACCAATTAATTTGCAAATGGTTGAATATTTTATAAAGGAGTTTTTAGATTTGTATATTGTACAGAGTGTGATTTAAATGGTACTAAAATTAATGTAGCAGATCCGTAATTGATTATGTTGAGTTATAATTGTTGGTCATGTGTGCAGTAATTGTCCCGTGGCGGAGGCTATGTGGGCCAAGTCACAGTCAAATGTCGTGGACGCTTGTGTGTTGAATGCACTATAAGGCTAGGGTATGCGCCTCTTCTAACACCAATTAGTTTTAGAAGAGTTGGTAGCGCTGAGGTCCTACAATAATTTACAAAGAGATGCATTACTATTGATTTGTATTTGTACACCACCAATAATTTTCTAATATTATAACTATAATGTACTCCGTAGTTAAATTTGTACTCCGTATTAATAGTACATTTATTTTTTCTGATATTAATAATTTAAATTTTCGTAAAACTTCTCCCAGTGTTAGAGTGTGAATCTAGTAGACTTAAAATACGGAGTAGTTAAAAAGAAAATGGGAGTAGAATTGTTGGGCCGAAAGGTGCCCACCTTCACGTTCTTGGTCTTTTCTTTCGTTCAATCCCTCTACCGTTCAGGCGTTCACAGTATTCCGGCCTAGATGGCGGAGATGGCGGAGACCGAGAAGAAAATCAAATTAGAGAGTTCCGACGGCGTGATTACTGTAGTCGATGAGTCGGTGGCGATCCAGTCTGACATTCTCAAGCGTTTAATCGAGAATGTCAATACCGACTCTGTTATCCCTCTGCCTTGCGTGGATCACTACACTCTGACAAGGGTGATTGAACATTGCAAGCGCCACGTTGATGGTGTGAATCCTCCCGATCTGCAAGCGGTTGATGAAGGAACTGTCTTCAAGCACATGATGGTATGAATCTCTCTTCGTTACTTTTCTCTCAATTCCTTATTAAAGGTCACTTAATCTTGGTTGTGTGTGTTTTAGTGATTACGTGTTTGTATAGATCTGACCTGTTTCGCTTTCATAATGGTCTCCCTGTTCTACCTATCAGGGCTGTGTCTTCTCATCGCTTTCATATTGATGTCCCTCCTCCTTCTTTGTCTTTTCCTTCATCCAATCACTCTACAGGCCATAGGTTCGTTTATGCCGTACACAGTCTATGATCCACTGGTGAGAGGGAACAGAATACCTTTAGGATCTTCGATCGGAATTACATATTCTTCTAGAGCCTCAAATAAAATCTCTAAGATAAACATTTAAATTTTTTATGTAGTAATATTGATGGGATTAACCCGATCAGATGGCGGACCAAGAACGAAATATGAATTAGGAAGATAAAATCACTCGATAATACTCTTTGATTAAGTATTGAACTGTCTTGTTGTGACCTGCTTTACAATGGCGGGTTCTTCCCCTTTTATAGTACTTCTAATATTCTAATTAAAATTATACAAAATGGAAATGGATTATGGAGATCATGGGGTTGTGATTCCCCCTCTTTCCGGTCTCGTTCTCTTCCCATTTCGCCCACAACTTAATGATGTGGGCCACGTATCCCATTCCTCCCTTGGATCGGGTCACCTTGATTTTATCCCACGTTTGGGCCGTCTTCCTTCACTTGCCATACGCGAGATAACGGGCTTGGCCCGTCATCCCATCTGTTTCTATACCCTTTAAGCCATTATGGGCCTTCATTTGGGCCTGGAGTCGGGCCTACCAGACCCGATATCCATCACAAGCCCCCTAGTTTTCTGGCGACGTGTCGCTAGAAAAATAATGATGAGCCGCCTTCGATCTTCGTGTCGGATTAGAAACGTCGCACTCGAGTACCTCGGGTCCACCTTTCAACGGATAAAAACCCTCTTCTGGACTCGTCTTCTTCCTCTCGCCACTGAATCTTAACCCGACCCGAATTCCGACTTCAATTTCCCCAAAATCCTCGCCTCCTTTTCCGGAATGGTCCCTACGAATCCTGAAACCTGGACCCATGGGCCCTCCACTATCAAAGGAAACGAGCTTCAAGAGATGGCCGTGCTCCTGGGCAAGGGCTTCCGGGTCCACCATCCCGATGCCGTTGGGGGAATTAGTTTATCTTACAATCCAAATCCCCAGAAATATATGGTCATGCAGTATCACTCCGTGGAGAACGGATTTAGGTTGCCCCTCCACGGTCTGCTTCGCGATCTCTACCTCCACTTCGGATTTGCTCCGGGTCAACTGACCGCCAATGCACACAAGTATGTCGCATCCTTCATCTTGAGGTGTTGTGCCCTGGACAGAGCCCCGAAACTGGACGAATTCCTTCTCCTCTTCAGTATCGGAGGTTTCCCCTTTTACAGCCTATATCCTCACAATCATTTTCCCATTTTTGAGAAGGTTGAACTCAAGATCGACAAATGGTGGCTGAAATACTTCGTCATTGAGTTTCCGGCTCATAGCCCCATCGATCTGCCGGGTGTCGTCCTCCGCCGTTCCATTTCCCGGACGAAATTCGCCCCAGCAGACTTGGCGGGGGGTGTGTATAATGCTTTGAGGGAGAAGGAGGGTTTAATTTCCCACCACTCTCTCCAAGAAGCTAGTCTGTACAAGAAGGCAGGTTTTTACTACCCTCTGGGTCCTGACCCGGTCCCCTTTGAGGAGGTGCCTTCCCCTGAGAGATCGAAGGCTCCTCCCGCTGCAGAGTCCACCCCCGCTGCAAGCTCTTCCAGGGTCCAATCCCAAGGCAACTCCACTACCTTGGTTGTGCGCAATCCGGTCGCTGCCCTGGACGTTGTTCCTCTCTCCGCCATTCCCGGGCTCAGGAGGCCCACTCCGTCCCAGAAACGACCCAGGGAGGGAGTCACTGATGATGACTTCCTACCGAAAAAGAATAGGGGTGATAATATCTCCGTTTCACCCAGCCCCCTGTCAACCTCTTCTGGTCCTCAGAACTCTTCTTCCGCTGCCACTCCCGGAAGTTTAGGGCTAGAGTTACCCAACCCGGGAAGTCTGGATCAGGAGGCAGATGAACATCCAGGCCTGGCGTCACTCACAAAACCTGCGGTGCAACCTCAGCCTGATGCAAACAATTCCCCGCCTCAAACTGTATCTGCCCCCTAGAACCGGAGGAAAAAGCTGAGGGGCAGAAAGAACCAGAGTCCTCTCTTGCAGCAGAGGATGAAGTTGAAGTGCTGCTAGAAACAGAAATCTCCCACCCAGAGGAGAATGAGGCTGGAGAGCAGAGGGATGCCAAAGCTTCTCCAGAAGTGAGGAAAGAGACTGAGGCGCAACAGACTCAGGAGGAGCAGCGAGAGCCGGAAGAACGACATCCCGCTACTGCTCCCCCAGCTGTCAATCTTCCCATCCGGCGCAAGTTCACGCCACAGACTTATTCCGCTTTCGCAGAGGGTTGGGAAGGCTTCTCCCGCGGTTTGAGATCCTTGCAAGCTTCCCATTGGACTATCCAGGGGAATCTAGAAAGGATGCAGGGATTAGTGCAGGAACCCACAATTCCCCAAGCTCGCCCTGATCTGCTCGCCCTCAATGCCCTGCATCTCATGGAACAGGTACCCTTCCTTTTCAACAATCTCTTTATCCCTTCCTGGGTTAGTTCTTTTCCTTGATTTCCCTTTCCTTCTTTTAGGCCCAGCAATCGCTCCTTACTTTGACTGAGGAGTACCTGGGTGGAGCATCGGGAAACTTCCGGGCTGTAATGCTTCTGAGGGAAAGGGAACTAGCTGCCAGGGCCTTGCGACAGAAGGTTGACTCCCTGGAGCAACAAGTCCAGATCTTGCAAGGGGAGAATGCTCGGCTCCAAGCAGATGGCTCCACGGAGCTTGCAGCTGAGAGATCCAAGGTTCAGTCCCTACAAGATCAGATTGCCAATTACCAGAAGGAGACCCAGGATCTGGAAGTGCAGTTCGATAGATTCCGGGCACAAATCTCAACTCTGGAATCAAGGGCCTCAGCTTCAGAGGGCCAGGTAGGAAGCCTGAAAGCTGAGTTGGCTGAAAGGGAGTCCAGGATTTCTGCGCTGGAGGAATCCCTCCAGGATGCCAAGCATGAGAGTTCCCGTTACAATGAATTCGCCCTGAAGCAGATGGAGGCAAGGCGGCTCGTCCTCGAGCAGTTGAAAGGAGAGAGACAGGCTGCAAGTGAGCTCCGGGCAAAGGTGGATGAACAAGAGAAGATGGTCGCTGCTCATCAAGAGGAGGTGGCCACCCTGATTGCCCGTGCCAAAGCCCTCTACGAAGAGGGACAATTTGACATGCAACAATGCATCTACGGGGCAGTCCAGAGTGGTCTCCCAGAGAACCGCACTTTAGATGACTTCATCTCCTACTATGGGTTACCTCTTCCTCTTCCTCCCCCAGCTTCTCGTGCAGACCCGGGGCCTTGACTTTATCCCTCCTTGTTGACTGTCATATTTTGCCTTGTAATTATTTGGATTATGGTAAATTGATAACACCTGATGTATTTCTGTCCATATAGACTCCTTTAGTAATCTGACTGTTTCCCTTTTGGAATTCTTATTTCGCCCTAGGACTTAGCAGATTTTTTTTATCCGCCTAGGCTTTGGGCTTAACCGCGTTCATAACGTATTGTTCCTCTTGTTCACCATTGCACTAAGTGGCTGGCCCACTTTAATTTTGCCGGGCCCAACTCACCTTTAGCCCAATGATAAAATAGTGGAACCCTAGCTTTCCTCGGGAATCCGCAACTGCTTCCCAATCGGATAAGCGCTTTGACTCCGCGTCCTTTGTCCTTCTCCTATGGGATTACTCGCCTATTTAAGGGGCTGGGCTAGCCCCTCCCATACCACAATCAATTTCTCAACATGGCTAATAACGCCAATAGAGTTGTCTTCATTGATCTTACTATTTCTGATTCTTCTTCTGATTCTTCTTCGTTGGCATTCCCTTCACTTGGGTCCCCAACACCTGAGCTCTCTTCTGGGCCTTCTCTTGCCTCTGAACAATCGGTAACCTCTCCCTTGCCCAGGGAAGAGAATAACCCTCATCTCCCCCAACAGGTCTCGAGGAGTATCCCTCCGGGTCCCAGCGTGCTTCCTAACAGTGTCAGGGCTGAAGTCTCTTCTGGCTGTCCTGGCACTTCTCGTCCACAGAAGAGACGCAATCCTCACTCAGGAGCTTCCCAGCTGGTTTCCGGCGCGAGGCCTTCTTCCCAGGGTTCCCCTTCCCCTCAGCAGTCCTATGGACAACCACCTGAGGAATGGGGGGATTACGACATGGGAGGAAATAGGCTTCCATTTATACGCAGGGAAAAGGACGGATCCTTTCGGGATCCGCCTCCTCCTGCGGTATAAGCGGAGACAGGCCTAGTATCCCTCCCTCATGCCCTATCGTCCTCCTGGTCTGACTCCAGAGAGATGACCGGATGGTGCCGACGGAGGGAATGTTATCCAATCCCAACCCGTTGGTTCCTCTCCGTATCTTTTGAATGTCATCAAGGGAGACCGGTGGGCGCCCTCACGGGAATGACAGGACGATATCCACGGGGATGGCTTTAGATCCAACCCGGGGGTTCCATCCTGCTTCTTGTGAATCTCATGAAGCGTCTTCGGCGGACACTCTCCATGCCTTCCTGCCTTGAGGTTCTCTTCTGGTTCAGGCAGGGAAGCAAGGGCCAGCGAATTCATTCCTTTGAATTCCTGAAGCGTTGATCCGCCTTGCCTTCAGTTTTTCTTTCGCAGTAAGATAGAAGTAGATCAGGGACAAAGTTCATTACTGTAACCCAAAAGAATGTAATTTTTCTGTTTGAGTTATTTAATGAAAATCTTTCTCTTGTCTCTTTTTTTTACCTCGTAGTCAGATCAGGGATAAGGCCCATTACTGTAACCCAAAAGAATGTAATCTTCTGTTTGAGCTATTTAATGGAAAGAACCTTTATCTCCTGTCATTTAATATAATTTTGTTGCACGTGCCGTCATCTGCATGGAGTAGAAGTCTAAGTCTATTTAACTCCTTACCTTCCAAGGAAGACATCTTTTCCAAAGCACAAATGGGCCCAATTAACTAGCCCATGCACTTAAGTGGCGAGAAACTCTTAGTCAAACTCTGGAAAAGCTTCGACCGCTTCCCTCGCCAATCGCATAGTCTCTCACGTCTTTTGACTGCATTCATCAATTCCAACTATCCCTTCCCCTTTGACTATAAAATGAGAAAGGGCAATTAGCTGCCAGTCCATCACTTTCTGACTTCTTCGCCATGACAAGTAAATCAGAGGGCAAAGTCGTCATCGACCTAACCCTCTCTGGGACATCTTCTTCTTCAGACGATGATTCCCTCATTTCTCCAGCCCAATCCAACGACATGGCCGGTTTAAGTCCCGGCGAGTTCTTGAGACTTTATCCGGCACCTCGCCTTCCTGCTCCATCCCCTCCAAGTCCACCTAGGCTTCCCTCCGGGGAGATAGACTGGGACTCTATGACCCTCCAAGACTTTGCCTTGTACCAGAGGATGTGCAGGAATAAACTTGGACGTCCTCCACCAACTGTTGAGGCGGAACCTTCATGTGAAAGCCGGACTGCTCCTCCAAACCTGCTGAATCCTTCCAACAATGTTCTTCCAACGAAGGGAGCAGCCCCCTGTCCCGGGACATGGGAAGATTATGACTCATGGGAATTTACTAATTCATCAATGTGTCCCTTGTCAAAGAGAAGGAGCCCATGGAAGGGTCCCCCACCTCCTTCTTGTTGACTGCATGGATGCCACAGGCCTTCCTTCAGCTCCTTGCCACCCTTCGAATTAGCAACCTGATGGGATCCCTTAATTTCTTCTCTTGTTTATTTCACTAAGAACTTTTATTGTGGACCAAAAAATGTAAACTTTGGCCCATCAATGTGGTCCTTAATGATCATATCTTTGCATCTATTCAAATGCAAGTACATAATTCATTTTCTATATTAAATCTCATCTTCCCGGGGTTTGGGCATGCCTGGGGCACTCATCCAATAAGTCCCTGACCTCCCTCTCCTCCGGGTTAAGGCATAATCTTATCTACCTTGGATCAGTTGAGCTCCAACCCTCGAAGTTTGTTTGCTCGGTTGATCTATGCTAGTGGAATACTAAGCTTCAGCCCTCGAAGTCTGCTTGCTATTCTTCTTGAATTCCGGGTTGTAGTGGCCCTCGAAGTCCAATCCCAACCTTTCCTTCATTTTTAACGGAGGCATAAACTTTTCTACCTCCGGGGGGGGGGGGGGGGGG